TTGAAAAAATTTTTTATACGACCTCTATTTTCTAAGATATTTACGTAAATATCTTAGAAAATAGAGGTCGTATAAAAAATTTTTTCAAGCAAAAGTTGTTTGCTTTTTTACGTAGAATAAAATCCCGTAATAAAAAATATGTATTTCTATTTAAAAAAGTAAAGTTGACCTTGTCCTGACCTTGGCGACGTCATCTTAGGTCAAATAACTACTGTCATTAAATGCGACTTTTTAAGCCTTACAACTTTTATTGGAAACATTTTTCTCTAAAATGCTCCCCCGCCGAGTTTTCTTGCCGTTGCCGAACTTATGGGATACACTGTATAACATATCCTTATAGTGTTCATAGTATATTATAACATACCTAGCAAACACCAAATAATAGTTACATAATTTTTACTTGTTGTTCATTGGATAATTTGCTGATAGATATTGAAACAACGCAACATTCGATATGCGATGAATATTAATATAAAGTAGTGAACCAGTGATAATTACTTTTACATTTTTAACAAAATGTTATAATGATTAATCCAAACAAAAAAAAATTAAAAAATCCAAGAAAATCCAAATTAAACAAATCGAATTACTAAATTTTGAAAGAAACTTTTAACAAATATTATTTAAAACAATAGTGTTGTTTTATCAAATGACATGGTTTCCTTAAACGAAATAAAAGTTTTATTTTCATCATTTTAAAAAATGATATTTCGTTTAAGAATATAATATTTTAATGAAATAAAAAAAACCACAAAATTAAACAAGTACGAATATTAAATCTAAAGAGATTATTTTCTCCGAAAAAACGGTATAACCCTAACAGCAGGGGGACGTTCTGAGGACGTTCTAAGTAGATCGCAATGCGTATATTGCGATCATCTCATAATGTTCTCATATGTACTGCGATCGAATGAGTACGTTCTGAGTAAATACGCGCGCGATACAAATACATACATATCATTTCAGTCAAACCTGAGAATGTACGCACGCGATAGAAAAGCGTACGTATCACCCTTATAGAAATATCATACTAAAAATCATTGATAATTACTTATTTTCAGTATTAAAAATACTGGATAATAAGTAATTATCAATGATTCTTAGTGTGATATTTCTATAAGGGCATTTCCGTATCCCTGAGTGAAATCTGAGAGAACATTCGCACGTGAAAGAAAAACCGAATGATACTATAAGTGACGTTCTAGCGTTCAACTTAGGCTGCGTTCCGAAATTCACTTCCAGCACTGAAAATCTATAGTTCATGTCACATTTACTATAAAATTTCAGTACTGGCAGTGAATTTCGGAACGCAGCCTTAGTACGTCACAGATGATTACAGTACAATGAGTACGAAAATGGGATGATACGCAGTACGTCGCGTGCTGTTAGGGTAATAATCTGTTTCGTTTAGAACAGCTTCCTCTAGTACTGATGTTCTAACTGTCATAGGCTTTCCAAGATCAACAGTGTTCCTTACAAAAGAACACTTTTCTCGAAGATAGCAGTGAATATTCGTAAATGTTTTACGACATTGTAAATTGCGTTGGAGATATCTTTCTGCATAAATACGCCTTGCCTCACGTGAGTTACCATTTGCAAGACCACAGGCAAAGCGCATATCTAGCATTTCAAAATTTGTAAACTTAGGCATGATGAAACCGATTTTGATGGACTGAAACAATTTGGCCCAAAAACGTATGCACAAGCTAACCGACTCACAGCAACGTCAGAACTGAAGTTTATTTTTGATTTTATGACTTTGACTTTGTCATTTTGTTTATGGTCGTGCGAATGGTAACTCACGTGAAGCAAAGCATATTTATGCAGGAAGATATCTCCAACGCAATTTACCGTTTCGTCAAACATTTGCGAACATTTACCTGTATTTCGGAAACTAAGCCGTTTAGGACACATGTTTATATGAACTTTTTTACTTGAAATAAACCAAAGAATCGCTCTGTTGAGTATGGTAACATACTTAACTAACACCCTGTATATAAATACAGTTTTCAATCAATATATATTCATGATTATATATTGATACATGGTTGTATATAATTAATTTTGCTATAACATTAAGAACACTGTTACAACAAGAATTATTTTGTCGTGTTTTCTCTATATAGAAGACATGTAACAATTGACTCTATACCCATGGTATAGAGTGGGATGTCATATTTTTCCAATCTTGCTTATGACTATATAATTTCTTTGTGCATAAATATAAATACGGCTCATATTTCTTTTCTTGTATCTAAAGAATGTAGCTATATTACAATGTACTCAACATTCTGAAATATTACATACACTATCTGTTTTTATCAATAAATAAAATGTGTGACAACCAGACCAGGTCTCCCCTACTGACTGCGTTACATTTTTTAACTTCAACTTTAACTTTTCTTACTTGTTAACAGTATTTTTTATAATTTAATACAATTTAGTTGCTTATATAGATTTTTAAAGTTAATAAAATGTACTTGAAGAAAACATTATTAAAAATTTAATTAAATAAAAAGAAATATTTTTTATATCAGCTTGAAGTTGGATTTTTTTTAGAAGAAAAATAAATGAAAATACGAGACATATATAAAAAAATATCGTTTAATTGTTGCACATTCTACGCATAAATACGAGATATATATAGAAAAACGCTTAATTTTACAATTGTATTCTTAAGAAACAATAGGGAAAAGTGTGGTGCATAAAAAATAATAACATTTATATGTTTTTCATGAAATTTAATTTATAATAAAAACTAGTATATACATAAAAATTTTTATTTTTGATTGAAATAGAGCAAAAACTTTGTTGAAGAAATAAATGTAAAATTTCACTGGTACCTATTTTGCACTTACTACTTCCACACAGATGCGAATTCGCACCAACTCGAATTTTCACAGTCGCTATTTTGCGTGTTTCGGCAAGAATGACGGGAACATTTGTGTCGTACATAATAGGAACCAAACAAGTTTGCCCTAGTAGGGACAGAGCGATATCGACTCGCTGATAAATGGTAGCAAAGTGAAGTTTTTACTAGTGCAAATTTGCACCAGTGTGGAACTTGAAGGTTAATTTGAAACTTACTTATATAAATATATGTGATGAGATGAAAATTTTTGCTGAGAAGAATTTGGCCACTAATTGAATCTAAACTTTTTATGTCGAGTTTTTGACATTGTGCGTAATGATAATGTACAGGAGCTGTTGGATGCGGTCCTCAGGAGGAGTTTCGTGCTTGCGCCGACATTACCATCGGCGATAACGAGGCGACATTACCACCGAAACTACCGAAGCAACCAACTCCTACGTTCACGGAACAATCACCGACAAACGCGAGCCCATTGCCAAAATCCGGACCATATTGGCTGTTTAGTATCGTCATCGCCAGTACTTGTTTGTTGGTAGTGTTAGCCACTATGGCGTTGCTTTATACGTACTACTATCACACTGGCAGAGCCAAAAAGTGGCTCATGGCGAGAAGAATGTTAACTCAAGAGAGTCCGCCAATTGCACCACCGAGGCACAAAAAGCATCATAATCACGTATCAAACACTCAGTTGCAGTTATAGAAATCTATAATCTATATCTATAATCTATATCTCAATTATTAATAGGGAGAAATATATTTTAGGGAGAAATATAGTGACAGATTTTCGGACTTTCGTATTTTAAAAAGAAATAAGGCAAATTAGGACGTCTATAATAGTAGGCACTTCTAAAGATATCGATTATATTTATGCTCGGAATTACTTTTAATATGGAAATTATTTTCGAAGGCTACACCTACTTAGTTTTTTTTGCCACTTTAAACTCGCTCGATGAGCGACGCGACTGACAGTCGCGGTGTTCAGTTTCAAAACCGTTGATAATGATTTGTGAGGCGCTTAACAGTTGAAATAATTTTTTCCAAATAACTTAAATATGTCAACAGTCTTGAAGCTGAGTGACAGGATTGTCAGTCGTATGATCCGTCAGTCGAGCTGGAGCGGTAAAAGAAAGTAAGTAGGCATAATTCTCAAAAATCACCTCAAAATTGAAAATAATTTCGAAAGTTGGATTACATTAAAAATGGAAAGAAGCAAAATTTTAATGTTCTCAGACAGAACAACATATTACGATAACGTAAAAAAGACGAAAAAATTATTATAAAATTCACTTTTCTATCATGATCCTATCACATTCTCGTCATTTTGACGTCATCGTAATTTCCTATTCTACTTAGATTCTACTTAGATTTAATCTAACTATTCTGTTTCTAAGGTAATTCATCCGTAAAACTATTTTTATCGAAGTCTTTTAAAAAAAAGGTTAAAAACATTTTTCTTAAAAATACAGTGTGTCTTAAAAATATGGGAACCCCTGATATTAATATTAATATTAATATTTTTTTATAGTGAGATTTCTCGATAAAACTTTCAAAACAAAAGTTGTAGGATTTCAAAAACTGAATCTGATGGTGAACTTAAAATTGACCTTAAGTTTGACCTTAAGTTAAAGGCCATTTCAAGATCAACTTTATTTTTTCAAATGATATTTTCAAATGATATATATATATATATATATATATATATATATAATTTGCACTAAGTTTGATTAAAACTGGTGCAGGCAATACGGAGATTTCGAAACCTCGCCCGCTAAAAAGCCTTTTTATTTTTGCGCAGATTCTCATTTTTTCAGACACACGCACACAAGCGAATCAGTTTGTCTATATATATATATATATATATATATATATATATATATATATATATATATATATATA